GCAACAAATACTTTTATTGAAAGAAAAAAATAGATATTATGGATATGGTTTTAGTTTCACCAAAAGTTTTTCTTTTTCACTTTGTAATAGCTGTAATTCAAACCTTCATAGATCAAAATATAAAATACATACAACTCTACCAACTCAAGAATTCATTGCTGCTGCTGCTACTACTCAACTAAACCAAGAATTCATTGCTGCTGCTACCACTGCTCAATTAAATCAAGAATCTACTGCCACTACTACTACCCAACCAACTCAAGAAATTACAATGATATTAAGTGATGTTGATAGCCCTAATTCACCATTATCATTAAAATATGCTGTAGGAAAACCATTTGAAATCAATTTTAAATTAATAATCAAAACTAGTGAAGGAAAGAGTAAATTTGCCAAATTTGCCAAATCTGAAGCAACTACCTTATTTGAATTCGAAGATGATATTGAAGAACTGGTCCAAGATCAATGGGAAACTGCAGTTGTTAGAAAAGAATATAATCTATCATATAAAAAATCAAAAACAAATGATATTGGTATTGGTTTATTTGATGAAGATGACTGGGAAAGATTTCTTAATGAATACAAGAGTATTGCTGTTAATAAGAAAGTTTTAGAAATAATTGTAACTATGAAAGCGAGAAAAAATGATAATATAAAAAAATTGAAACATGAAAGGTAAAGTTTTATTTTAAAATATTATTTTTTATAATTTTCATATTTTTTATAATTTTCATATTTTTTATAATTTTCATTTTTTTATTTATTTGTTATAATATAGAGAACAAGAACCATATGGTGAGAAAATTAATGAATCAAAGAAAAAAATTAAAATCACCAAAGAAAAGGATTTAAGTGAAGATAATGATAATGTCCGATTATCAAAGCTCATATTAAACATAAGGGATAGACATTATTGTAACGAACATCAAAAACCTTGTTACATTGATTCCAGTGGCATTCATATTGAATTAGGGCCTACCCATTTATCTGCATGGGCTAGAGCAATTGTAAATATATTTTAGGATTTTATAAAAAAATATTTTTCAAAAAACTAATAATAATAATAATAATAATTTCAGGATAATGGTGTAGTAGATATTGAACAACCACCCTCCTATCCAATGTTTGCACCATCAAAAAGCAATCGAAAGATACAGCAAGTCAGTCCAACATTTTCTTCTCAATTTTATCCTATGGTATATCCAATATATCAACCACCAGTTTATCCCTCCTATCTACAAAATAATCACCCAATCAATTTTTCATTGCTCTCACCAACAAAACCAATTAATTCACAACCAAGAGACATACCATCAATAAATGACTTTTTAGAAAACTTAGATCAAAAGTATGGAAATGATTTGTTTACTCGATTTTTGGACAGTTTTATTAATGAATCAATTAATGTTTTGGATATTTTAACATTAAATGATTCTGATTTCATTAATTTGGGTGTAGATAAAATTGGTATAAGAAAAAAAATGATTAGAGAGGCAGAAAAATATAAAGATATCAAATATTAATTACAATAAAAACAAAAATTCTTATTTTAATTAATTTATATATGTACACTTTTTTAAAATATGAATGTGCCAAATTTGTTGTTATTTGCATACAGGCAACTGTTAACACAAATATGGGATCTGCACAACTCTGCATAAATATATTGTTTCTTTTTATCCATTTTTTAATAAATGAAAATGATAATTCAATTGGATTGTAATCAGGTGAATAAGGTGGAAGGAACAAAACATGACAACCAACTTCTTTCATTAATTGAATCATTTTATCATCACGGTGAATAACTGCATTATCCATTACCAATACACTGTTTTTTTGTGGATAAGGATTCATTAATGGTAACTATAAAAATAATAATTAAAAAAAATATTATATTATTCACATCACACATAAACATATATTTAATTACAAATAAACTTTTCTCTATTACAACTTTTTTCTCCTTTTCCCTTTTCATTCATTTTATAACCTAAATTATTTACACTACTTACAATTTGTGCTAAAATAAAACTTTGAAACCTTTCTTTGGTGCAACTGCCTTCCATGATGTCCAAAGCAATATATCCTTCTAAAGTTAATGCTGGCAGTATGGTAAACCTTTTACCACGTATAAAAACCACTTTCTGATTGATTGGTTGATTTCTAAATGAATACCCATATGAACGTGATATTGATCTTTCATCTTTTGAAGACTCATCTAAAAAAATTAGTTGTTCTGGGGAATAATAACTACCTATTTTTAAAATGAATAAACCACGAACTAGTTCATTTCTTTCTTTTGCAGCTTTTGTTATCTATAATATAAAAGTTTTCATAAGAATCAACTTAATTTTAAAAATTTTGTAATAATGTTATTTCACCTTTTTTCTTGTAATTCCACAATATTTTAATGAGTGACATAATGTTGCAACTGATACCTCTTTACCAGATTTCTTAGTCATTTCAACTACCAATTCATCTAAATAAAAATCAGGGTTTTGAGTAACTAGTTGTTGCAATGACTACTTTACAAAATTATTTATTTGTTAAAAAAATTATTTCAATAATAAAATTTGGTGAATGATTTTATAAACATACTTCTAAATCCTTCTTATCAAAGATTTTTCTTCTTCCTTGCTGTCCTTTAATAGGAGTTTCAACACATCCCCAAGTTTTATATAAGTTAAGAATCCTTCTTACAGTTGAGATGCTAACACATAACATATTTGCAATTATCTGATTTGAATAACCATCAATATGTAAAAACACAATTCTCCATTTCAAATCTGTGCTTAATTGATATATCTTCATATCTGAATAATGCCAACATGGTAATTATTCATTAAAACACAGTAATTATTCATTAAAAAAATGTTATCATCAGTCTTTCCTTACTATGTTTTATATTTAACCACACTTGAAATTTTGATATAATATGTTATAGATGCTAATTAAAGAGAGTTCACAAAAAAATTAGAAATAGTGTTGCTAATTTTGGGAAATTTCAAAAAAGTTCAATTGAAAAAAAATAAATAAATACATGGTTTTCCTCACTTTTCACATTTAACCACACTTGAAATTTTGATATATTTTATTATATATACTAATTAGGAAAAGTTCACAAAAAATAAGTAGTTTTGGGGAGGGATCAATGAAATTTCAAAAATTTCAATTGAAAATAAATATATATATATATAATTTTTCTTATTTTTCACTAAGTATTTTATATTTAACCACACTTGAGATTTTGATATATTATAATATAAAGTTTAATTAGGAAAAGTTCATAAAAAAACTGAATTAAAAAATATTAAAATTATTAGTTTTATAATATTTATCTTTCACGACAAGAAAATTTTGTAAAAAAAAATTATGGGTCACACAGATCTGCAAAAAACCAACTATTTTGCAAACCACAATAATTAATATATAAACAAGATTTTAAATTAAATGTCGCGGCGAGTGAGTGGCAGCACATTGGGGTGTGAGATGCCCTAATTAAATCAAAATTAGGTGATGTAACATAATGTCGATCAATAACAAACTTTTTTTTTAAAAAAATAAGAATATATGTAAAAACTATATAAATAAAAATCGTATCAGAGCC